ACTTGTTATTTGTTTATTTTCTTGGCATAGCAGGTATATGCCTTACTTGTTAACTATTTATTTCCAGTCAAGTTGGATTCTATTGCCTTCAACAGGATATTTTAACAGAACAAGTTTCAGCTCTTAATAAAAGATTATAAAAAGTTCGAGAGGAACAATGATTTGGTGTCCAACTTATCCTAATGGAACTTCTTGACGGATAGGGTTCTTCATGGCTCCATTTAGTTTTTGTAAAGCCACCTTTTTCCTTCATATAAGCTGTGCAAAATATCCACTAGAGCAGTATTATTTGACTAGACAAAAAGAACAAAGTGAGATACTTTTCCACAATGGATCTGTTTGCACTCAATGCAAGCACATAGTGGAGGCAGCCTTTTGGACAATAGTGAGGTGTAAAAAAAATGTGGCGAATGAAAAAGAACAAACCATCTTTAACAAGAGAGTTAAGTTGCTTTCTTTTGAAAGTGTGGATCTGAGGAAATGTTGCCACCTAAGTGACTCATGCATGCATTGTCGCTGTACAACTTCAAGGGCAATTTCCATTTCCTCGACAATGTTAGATGGTCGTGGAATACATTATTCGTGTCCTGTTGTATAATCTCCTCATGTCTTCTTCCTATGTTCATAATTCAGTATGGTCCAAAAGAACTAGAAGGGGCATCAAAATTAGCGTGAGTTTTTAGAATTCACCTTAATCGTTGTTTATGTAAGGTTAACAAATCATCTAACATAATGCCAGTAAATTACAGAAGTTTTTGGTTCATCTAAACCTAGTGAGCTTTAGTGCATATCTTTGGCAAATAACTCCAACGTGAAAGAATTGAGTTTGGTGACTGAATATTTCAAAAGTTTAACTTGATAGGAAATAATTTTATAATTTATAACTAATTTTATTGACTTTAAAGCATAAGCGAAACACAAATCTGTCTTATCCCTGTGAGAGTGTACTATGTGGGCTAAAACAAAGAATAAAGTTATCTCCATGGCAACAAAGAGGAAGCTTGATTTAGACCTAAAAAATAGAACAATAATTATTTTTTTAATTATAGTTTATAACTAATTTCATTGACTTTAAAGCATAAGCGTCTGTCTTATCCCTGTAAGAGTATACTATGTGGGCTAATCCAAAGAATAAAGTTATTTCCATGGCAACAAAGAGGAAGCTTGATTTAGACCTAAAAAATAGAACAATCATTATTTTTTTAGACAATGATATCACAAGATAAGCTATTGAGGCAAGTGTTTTAAGCATATAACTCAAATAATAATTTATAAATAATAAATTTGATGGTTCTTTATAACTTAAACCTTTAGGAAAGCTGCACAACTTAATAATTATACACGGTAATGCCAGGAATTTTTCCTCTAAAAAAAAACAAAGAGTTTCAATCTTAACTAATCTGTGAACAATAAGCTACTGAATTCACACAATATAGGACCAATATTAAATTTTTGTTTTTGAAATAAATATGACCAATATTAAATTAAACATAAGTTATTGAGGACTTGTGTTTTGCCTATGCTTTAAAATCAATAAAAATTGGCACAGACATCATATATTTAACACAAAAGAAAAAGAAGTGGAAACTGAAATATACTAGTACAGTAAGTATATAAAAACAAGAATTCAAATTGGGTGAGTTTAAAATTAAAAGTTCATTTCCTATAAAGGTATCAGAAATAATTAATACTTATTTGAAATTCTAATATATAAAAATGACTGTTAATTAATACTTTTTAATAGTTTATAGAAAATTTTAGCTGGATCAAGTTATTTCACACTGGACAAAACTCTCCTCTTGATGCATTTGATTAAGTAGATCGTCTACTTAGCCTAAAATTCAATATTAGATAACTTTTTCTCCATCTACAACCCAAAAGTATACGTAGCAAAGGCCCTAAAACTTGATCATTTATATCAAGAAGCTAGTGCTGGTACAGAGAACAATGCAGTTGCATATGTGTAGAGAAACTATTACAGATTTCTACACTAAATCATTACAAACTTCGTCTTTCCAATTCATAAAATTTTTCCCAGAGATAATTAGTTCATGCTTTCACACGCAATATTTCGGGTAAAGATGGTTTAGATAATGGCAAACCAAAATGGCATTTACCATAGAAAACAAATACGGACAATGTATGAGCAGATACATAGCCATTCTATCACCATCAGTAATTGAAGTAGTAGTGGCAAATGAAACAACCAAAAAAGTAAGCTTCTTAAATATAACATGGCGACCGAGGGAGTGCGCCTTAAGTATCCGGAAAGGGATTTTATCTCCATGTATGCAAGATAGCTCGAGGAATCCTTATCAGAAAAACAATAGAAAACTATAAAACCTCATCACCTCAGAAGAAACCTACCAAATAAACACATGTCAACCTAGTTAGAATGTGATTTTGAGGCACCAGAATCATCCCATCCACAAAACTACTAGCTTGATTGTAAAATCGGGTTCCTTATCCAAATACATCAAGAAAAAGAACAATTTATCTTTCTCCATCTCCATTTCTAGATCATGAAATCCACCATGTTTACCCATTCAACCAGACAAAACCATAATATCATGTCAACTATAGTTTACTCAAGCCAACCAATTGTTCTCCGTTTTGACTAGCCATGGCGGTGTCAGCTCGCGGAACCAATAACCATAGGTTTCCCCTGACAAAATGGACCCCTTTAAAGAAACCCTGTCCAGGACTAGAGTTTCAATAAGCTAAAATTTCATATGCAATCCCAGAGAAAGAAGTGAAGCAATAGGAATCCAAAAAAGTTTACCACGTTAATACGCACGATCGCTTACATATACGCGAAGTATATACAAATTATAGGCGTAACAGACAAGATAGAGGCAGTACATACCTGAAATATCCAGGGTTCATCCATCCGTCTCCCCCAAATTCCTTGGGTTCCAAGAAAAAGAACCGAGACTTACTGTTTCGCTGAACGCTTATGTAAAGCTAAAACGGTGTCGTTTAATGTACCCTCGCGAATACGCGGTACCATTCGAGGAATGCTCTTAAAAAACGAGACTTCTGTTTCGCTGAATGCTTTGTCCAGATAAAACGGTGTCGTTTAAGAGAAAGGAAAAGCGAGTATATAGTTCAATGTACCCTCGCGAGTACGGGTATTATTAAAGGCATGCTGTTAGAACTGTTGTTAATAAGATAAACCATGTTTGGTGGCATAAGAGAGAGAATCCGAATGGCTGTGTCTGCTGCTCTGGTACCGATCCAACTCTTGCTCTGCAACTCAAATTCAAGGACAAGCTCACGATGGTTACCCTGCAAATCAACCCTTTTGAATTCTCAGCAAAAGAAAGCTTTTATATTTCTAGTTTCTTGCTCTTCTTCTTCTTCTTCTTCTTCTTCTTCTCCTACTTCTCAGCCCCCGGAGACCGAGACGAAGACCGCCGAGTCCTGTGTTAATCTGGGCCTGTCTCTATTCTCCAGAGGCCGGGTATGGATAATGCATTATTACCTTGTTAATACCCAAATTGATTTCAGCTGCTGTTGTGGGTCTTTCTGAGATGGGTGTGTTATATTCTGGTGATTCTGGTATAATATGTACTAAAGGCGTTTCCTTTTTTTCTTTTTTTTTTACAGTTCTGAACGTATTTGAGTTATTTCATAGGTAAAAGTTAGTAATAGTTCGTGCATTTTGTGTATAACTAAATCTGAGTTACTAGTATATTTAGTTCTACTTATTGTTATCATGAAAAGAAAATGAATAACAAAAATAACTTAGTTAAATTGATTATAGGTTTAGTTGGAATTAGAATAGTACTTTCCTTCAAATTTATATTTGATTTATATAGTATTTTTATTATAGAATTGAAATTTGAACTAAAATCAATATAATAATTGAATAGTATCCATTTGTAATATGAAATGCTTTAGAATTTTGAGTGGAAGAGAAGAGCATTTTCTTTTTTTCCTTTTTGGGAGCTTTTAATTGTTTAAGTCATGATAATTGCCTACTGGTATCAAATTATAAGCCAGGTACCCAATTCTTCTATGGATTGGCTTCATTTGTTCATAAAGTTTGTTTGGAGAACTAAATTATATCAGGCCTGTGTTTCTTTTGGATTCTACTTTTATATCAACGTTTTCTATTTGTTGTTGACTGAACAGTTCTATGAAGATTGCAAATTGATAGGGTTCATGAAAATTGATTTTCAGGTTAAAGATGCTCTAGTCCAGTTTGAAACAGCACTTAGTTTAGATCCAAATCCCGTGGAGGCCCAAGCTGCTCTGTATAACAAAGCATGCTGCCATGTGTACCGGTTGGAAGTCAGCTTTTTTTTTTTTCTTTTTCTTTCTTTCACTCATTAGATTTTTCAGTGCTCTTTCCTCGTTCTTTGAGAGAACTATTTCACTATCAAAGTTTTCTATTATTCTGAAGTGATTAACAGGTTGTCTCCATGGTACCACTAATGGTTATCATGCAATTTTTAAGAAAAGATGAAATAAAAATTGGTGAAACAAGACCTATTATCAAGTCATAGATTGTATGATTGATTTTTTTCCACATCTTTTTGGTCATATTAATCCACCCATATGTTTGAACTTTCCTTGTTTTCGTCATTTCTAAGAGAACAATAAACAACTGGCTATTTTAATCGTTTGGTTTACAATCTTTTGAAAATTC